CCCCTTCCCAAAATTACTTCAACGGAAGGTTTCCAGATGGATATGCGGAGCAAATCTATCTGGCGGAGTCAGGTTAAAAATTTGTGGGTTTTTGAAAGTTGGAAGGTTGATCTAAAAAAAAATGATCAATAAAAACAAATCATAAAGGGGTTTTTGGAAGAAAAATTTGGTAAAGCAAAATTGGTAAAGCAAATATGCGAACCAGAAGCTCATAGAAAATTGTTTTATTTTGCATATGCACAGTTTATTTTTTCATATTCATGCATACAATATAATTCGTTTACAGGTTGTAGAGAAATATCTCTTGATAGTTTTTTTATATTACACCTAAAATAAGGAACAACATTGTAAGGTATAACAAGACACAGCAGAAACCCATACTGCCTGTTCTCAAGTAGTACTGTGTCACAAATAGCATTATTCAAATTAGCTAAATTCATAGTTGTATTTTTTTTCTGCAAACATGAGAAAATGTTGGCCACAGTTTATTTTATTCTGACCCTAACTGCAGGGCCATACATAAATAAAAACACAAACTAACAGTCAAAACTTTGGACATACATTGTCATTCAATTGTTTATTTTTATTAATACCTCTAGAAAATCCTTTAAAATATAATTGGAAAACCATTTCTTTACTATTTAAGGAGGCTAACCTACAGAATGTCAAATGTGTGCAAAGCAGTAATCAAAATGAAGGCAAGCTACTTTAAAGACTCTGAAGATCATTTAAGCTATTTAATTTATTCTTTTTGCTAAATTATTCTATATAATGTTGTGTCATAGTTCTAAAGTTTTACATATGTATCAAAGATAATAGAAGAAAAAAAATTTTTGATTAAAGAATGACAAAAGTTTGCCTTTTACTCATGGATTCGCCCAGTCTAGTAAAAAGGTACTTTGGGGACCAGCTGATTGGTCCCTGCAAGTACACAAAGTGGAATATTCCATGGGAAGTTGTGATTTTACATACACACACTCAACTCTACACACAAATATACAGACATACAGACAAACAGACAGAAGTGAACTGTTACATAGGTGCTAAGCAACGATAAAAAACTAGAAATAATATTATTGCATAAAATTACTTTCAATTAATTTAGAATCTGATTCATTTTTTGAAACTGATAATTTTGATTAATTGCATTATACATTTGATTAAATAATTACTGTAGAAATGCCTATATCACATTTAAAGTGGCATTATGGAGTTTTGTAATGATAATGCAACCTGTGCACAAAAAACAGAACTGCAGCACTCTTATTCTCCTTCTCGTACTTATGCTCATACTTGACGAGGTTTTGTTTTTTTATATTACCTTTTTAACCTTACATTTCATTACTATTGGTGGCTGAGTTGAGCTGGATTCCAGTGGCTGATTATCCACAAAATCTTCGATTGTTTGCCAGGTTGGACCCATGTAACTTGGACACGCTTGATGTAACATCTGCAGAACAGCGTGGGAACATCCAACCCAAACTACATTCAGGGAAAACAGGCTACTGGTTTATAAATGCATCAGCGCTGAACTACTAAGATTTCAGTCTGCTCATCAAATGATGTTTTAGATGTAAAAGGTCAAATAAAAAGGCAATTTTAAAGTTATTTTACAGTAAAAACGTACAAAATGTCTCTTTAAGGGAAGTCCAAATACTTTGTGTTTACCACAATCGTTCCTTTGTATTTCTCTTAGACATTGTCACAGACATGAAAATAATAAAATCAAATATAAAGATAAAGCTACTTTCCAATTGCATGACAATACAGTTTTGTTATTTCTACCTAGCTGTAGTTGTCTTGCTTTTGTTTATCTGAGGGTTATAATGTTGATATGTGCAAAAGGAGAAGGCTGACCTGCCCAAACAGCTCTCCTTATTGTCTGGGTGGGATTTTTGGACATAGTTGCCAGACCGATGTATACTTCATCTCTAAGAAAACTACTTTCTGCCTTCCACTGGGGGATAGTGAGAGTTAAAGAAGGACAAAAAAAATAAGTAAATAAATATTTCCTGAAATAAAAATATTTGCATTATTATAGAATGAATAAATTTATTCATTATTAAACACTTGATCATTAGATTATGAAATATAAAATTAAAGGATTAAATGTACCATTAAGTTTTAAATGTACTGTAAGATCAATTTATTAAATGTACCCTTAAATAATGAAATAACCCTTTTAATTGACCCTAAATAAAAATAGTATATTTTAAATGAATACATTCATTTACATTTAACCATTTCTCTCTGTATTCATTTATTTAATGGTGCCTGCTCAGCAGACTCATCATTCATTTTTTTCAAACTGTTAACTTCACTTTTCAAACTTAGTGGGATGGAAAAGTGACACTTCTATAGAAACCCAGAAATCTGTATGACTGCTTCTCGCTGAGAAAGACAAGGTAACTTTTCCCTTTATTCTTTATTACTTTATTGTCCATATTTTTGCTGAAAAAGTTGAAAATAACTTCAATAAGTTTAATAATCCATTAAATAATTTCAGTGGACATTTATTTCAGAATACATTTGCACCTATTTATTTTGTCCTCTTTCACTCTACATAGGGAAGGAGGAAGCTCGAGTTTATCCAAGAGACACCGTCTTGTCAACCAGTGATATTTGACTTGAACTACACAGATGATGAGACAATGCAACATTGACTGCTTACGAATAACATTGCTTTTCTCCAACCTGCTGTAAAGTAGTTTTTTTTTGTCCTCACTTTCTTTGTGTTGCATATTGATGCCCATCCAAAGCCAATACTGATCAACATTCCATTTATCTTTTGACCCAGAAGTTTGTACTCTGTGCTTATGTGTAATTATGAAGCACCCAAAACATTACCTAAAGACAACCTAAAACTTTCATATCCTTAGCTAAAGCAGAGTTAAAATAATAAAGTAAATTACATATATATATATATATATATATATATATATATATATATATATATATATATATATGAGCTGAAACAATTAATTGAATTAATTGTGATTAATCCATTATTAAAATAATAGTCAATAATCAAGTAGCAATCGATTAACTGTTAACTGGAGTATAGAGACTTTAAAACATTCATTTAACTTAGAGAGCAACATACTTAGAGCAGTAATTGTATCAAAGTTGTAAAAAAAACTTCATAAACATGTTGGATTTAAGATATACATTTTTTTTTCTTCTGTCAGTATGTTCAATCCAGAACTCCACAAGAGGAAAAGTTTTAGTTTCACCTGGTTTATTTTCGTGAAAAATATCCTTTAAGGAACCTTTGGCTATCCAATTATTAATCAAATAATTTTAAAAATAATCAACAGTTTTATCGATTTGCAAAATTTGTTGTGGCCCTAATATATATGTATATGTCCATATGTATGTATATGTATGTATATATGTATATATTTATACAAACAAAATCGATAATAATATAGTGAACGTTACATTAATACCACCAATCCAAACAGAAAATGCAAAAAGTCATAATTTACTTTCTACAAGAACTCCAAGTGTATAAAAACAATACATAAACCCAAGTTTTTACTGTGATTGTTTTGGAGGTCATTTAGCACCTTACAATGTGACAGTCTTGACAGCCCAGAGGAAAGAAGCCTGTTTGTGTTTATATTTGTCAGTTAGTCTAAAAAATAGGGCAAATTAAATCCAGCATAAAAGATCCAGTCTCTGAGTTTCGGTTCAGACAGATTCCACCTTAACCTGGTTGTTGTTGGTCATGAGAGGTGATGGTTTACTTTTGAGTCTCTCTCCTGCGTCATTGGAACTGTCTTGAAAGAAAATGCGGGCTGTACACACTGACACCACAATACGTTTGTACTCCCGCCGAAAATTCTGGTTTAACACACCATATACAATGGCATTAAGGCAGCTGTTGAAGTAAGCCATGAAGTAGCTGGCCACAAATAACCACTCCGGGATGAGGGGAACAACAACCTCTGGATTGATTGCTACAGCCAGGCCAATGAAGTTAAGTGGTGCCCAGCAAACAGCAAAGAGCACAAACACCACAAACATTGTGACAAAGTTTCTGACATCATTCGGTGTTAGTTTGGGTCGGATGTCTGGCTTGACCCGTCTCCGTACCTGTATAACCAATATCCAAATACGCAGGTAGCAGTAGGTGACAATCATAATGGGCAATATAAAGTGGAAAAATACCACTGCGATTGTGTACGCTGAGCTGGCTGACTGCTCGAAGGTGCAGGAATAAACTCGTGGATCATACTGGAGGGAACCCACAAACAGGTTTGGCACAATGGCAACCACAGTCAGCATCCATATCAAAATCACATAACAGACAGAGTTTTTGTCACTGTAAAGTTTGTCGTATTTGAGGCTGTGACAGATGTAACAGTATCTGTTGATAGCGATTCCGGTGATATTGAAGATGGAACCAATGACGCTGACACCCATGAGAAAGCCACTGATCTGGCAGTGGACATAACCAAGGTTCCATCCGTTGTGGAAAATGGAGGTGAGGACCAAAGGATATGGGTAGATGGCCACGACGAGGTCTGCTACAGCCAGGCTAACCACAAAGATGTTCCCTACAAATGAAATAAACAGCCACAGAACATAGAATATTAGTCAGATATAAAAAAAATAAAACTTTATTTCTTCATTGTTAGTGAATCTTTTGTACAAGTTGTAGATATATACATTTTTCAGTCTTATTGTTGTATAAATGTCCTTTCTAAAGCTGCCAGACTACAAACTTTCTGGATGGAAATTGGAGATAACAGCTCATTCTAACAATGATTTGCTATTTTTATATATATTTCCTGGTGCAATTACACCTCAGACCCATATGCAGATGTTGATTAAGAAAAACTATAATCTTTAAAAAGCTGGAAAACTATAATCTGGGCAATTGTAGTTTTATGGATGTTACATTCAGTGAGATCATTGGAAAATGAGCTCAGCACTGACAAGGCACTGATTTGAATCAAAAATATATATATATTGGTTACAGTTATTGGGATAAAGATAAGCCTGCAATATAAAATTTGAATACTTGGATTTTGAGAAAAGAAATGCCCAGCATTGTGGATGTTACAGACATGGACAAGCATTTCAACCTCCAACACTTTTTAAGGGTTAGGCTGACATGTAATATAATTTTGTAGGGCAGGGTTTGAGGTATCTAAAAAGAATGATACACAAAAATGTGTATACAAAACGAAATTTCGTTCAGTACAGCTCTCAAGACATTTCCATTTCTTAAAGTGTAGCAGTGATAAAATGTAAATATGGTGATCAAATGTAGACCCAAGAATGAAATATGTTTTAAAATTTTTAAAACATTCAGCCCTTTTTTTTCTTCCCTGTTTTATTGAACATTCAGTAGTCTAACGGCAGTGGGGAAGAAGCTGTTGCAAAATCTGCTGGCCCTGCATTGGATGCTTCGAAACCTCTTCCAAGAGGCCAGCAGGGAGAACAGAAAAAACCCACTTCGATTAAAAGCTGAAGAGCCCAACAGTTTCAGTGTCCAACTCCCCTTTTAAGTGAGCAATGCCCTTACATTTCACTTTTTGCAACATCTATAGATAAGATAGCAGGTAAGCCTGATAGTCGATTAAAAGAGGATTCAGGGCTTATGAGTCTGATTCAACGTTATGAACAAGTAGCCCCTAATTTTCGATCTGTCACTCATACAGCTAGCTAACATTAGCTGGTGCTCTTGCGCATCAAATAAAGTAGAGAACAACATTCTACCTGTCAAGGAAGCTAAAAACAATGTACAAAACCAGACTAGTAATGTTACCACTAATAGGAATATTTAAATGCATTCTCTGTCGGAACGGCCATTGGAGTGTCAAAAACAACTAATTTGGCACTCAAAGTCACAAAAACTATTACAAAATATAACCTGTATCTGTTCAATAATTAAACTACCAGCAAATAGATTATGTAAGGCAGATTTGCAAGCGAGTGATGGCTTAGAGTAACAGCTGTAAACATTATGTAATGTCTGTCAGGGTAACGTCCGTAAAACTCTCAAAGTATTAAAAAAAATAAGACCAGGACAAATAATTTTTGGATATATGTCAGCATGGCTTAAAGTTAGCTTTGCTTCGAAAGTTTGGGTGATGTGGATTTTCAAATGCATGTTCTATTGGACTTTACATGAGGTGTCCCAGAAATCATCTTCATAAAAGTACGTTCCATCCTCCCAAAGTAAAGATACTAACAATATTCCTGAGATATATATATATACCTTTTTAAGGATGAAGATAATATTAAATCATGAATTAGTTAAATGAGTACAAGGAGATCATTTTAGTTGAGCCTAAAGCGCAGTAGACTCTTCTCTAGCTATGAACACACATATTCTTTCTTTTAATGTAAATATTGCCTTTTAGACAGAAATCCTACAACACCATCCATGAACCTTGAGTTATTGTGTCAATAGACTCAATGGGCCTGATCTTCAGAAAGGTTGTACATCTTAAAATAAAGTGCAAACGTGTTTGTACACGCAAGGTTGATCAGCATAGAAGGTGAAATGCGCTTTTCATTTTCAGTTTAGCTGACGAGTGTATGGAAAATGTTTTGGTCTGCTCATTAATATGCAGCCGTCATCGATATTCAGATACATTTCTACTGAATGGACTGCATATTCATGGGGGGGCTATGAACCCATCAGAGCTTTGGCTAGATGCTTACAACAGATCAATATGTGGATGTACCAAAATTGTCTACAACTGAATAAAAAGAAAACTGAGTTAGTAATCTTTGGACTAAAGGAGGAGAGATCCAGAGCTAGCTCACAGCTTCAGATTATACAACTAGAAACCCCTGAATGTGGCTGAAATCTTAGTGTCATTATGGACTCAGACCTGAACCTTTAGAGGCACATAAAGTCAGTTACCAAGTCAGCCTTTTATCACCTGAAATATATTTCCAGGATTGAAGGATTATTGTTCAAGCAGGCTCTAGAAAAAAAAAAATCATTCATACATTTATCTTTAGTAGGATTGATTACTGCAACAGTGTCTTCTAGGTTTGCCTAAAAAGTCCATCAGACACCTGCAGCTGATCTGAAACTCTGTCTTCTCACTAGAACTAACAAATTAGAGCACATCAGCCCGGTTCTGAAATCCTTTCCCTGATTCCATGTATCTCAGATAATAGACTTTAAAATCCTTCTGTTAGTCTATAAATAACTGAATGGATCAGCACCTCAATACATAACAGATTTGTTAGTGTATCAACCTCCCAGACCACTCGGCTCTTCTAGTTCCAGCTTACTCTGTACACCCAGAACTAGAACCCAACATGGAGAAGCAGCATTTAGTTCCTACGCTTTACTATTTTGGAACAAACTCCCAGAAGACTGTAAAAGTGCTGAAAACCTGAGTTCTTTTAAGTCAAAGTTAAAAAACTATTTGTTTTGAACTGCCTTAGAAGTTAAACTGCTAACTGAGTTATTATTAGTTTAAGGATGTGGTCAAACAGTTTTATTTGTGTTATTCATGTTTCTTTATTTGCTTTCATTGCGCTTTTATTTGTCTTGTAATTTAGTATCAAANATGTGGTCAAACAGTTTTATTTGTGTTATTCATGTTTCTTTATTTGCTTTCATTGCGCTTTTATTTGTCTTGTAATTTAGTATCAAATTCATGTAAACCACTTAGAGTTTTCCATGTACTGAATTATGCTATAATTAATTATAAAACTACAGATCAGCTGCAATAACTTTTTTTTTTGTTTGTTTTTCCAAAGTATATGTAAGCATATTCCACAGCCAGGGATCATCCTGGCATGTTCATTAAGTTTAGTGTTTTTATGTTTGTCATTCAGCCGACCTCTATTAAGAATAGGGGGCAGCTGCTGCTGTTCTGAGATCATAGATACTTTAGGTATGTATACATACACACTGTACACATATGTTTATGGTGTCACAGATCTATTTTTGAGAGGGAAATATCCTCCGGGGACAGGCAGGCTGAATCCTGCTCAACGCACATTTTCCATTGCAAGATTTTTGATGATAAATGATACATTTATTGGTTTTAGTCTGGTACTCAATTCTACAATGAGGTTTTCACTTAGCCCACGTTGTTACCCAGTGGTGTAGTTGCTGGAACTGTTGGACTGCTGCCCTGCAGCTAGGGGGTCAAATTCTGCATAGAGCTTTAGTGTTTATTTCTGTGTACTGCAGCTTCCTCCTACAGTCAAGAAGCAAGGCTCTTGTCTCCAAACTTTTCTTAGGAGTAAGATTGTGTGTGCATGGATGTTTGTCCTGTGCATAAAGAGAACTATTTCTCTACCGCTGACTATTGGTGGTTACAGGGTTGCATAAAAACTGCATGGATAAGTATGTTTAGATAATGAATAGATGCTTACTGTACACCTATTCTCTCTTAACTCTAGGACAGGCTTGCCCAAAGACCGTCATCGAGGGCCGCTATCCTACCATTTCCATTTGATTTCCATTGACAGCTAATTCACAGGCTTTGGCTGAACTGTAATAATCAAAATGAGCTGTGCTGAAGCGGAGAAACTTGTAAATCTTGCAGGACAGCGGCCCTCGAGGGCAGACTTTGGGTAAGCCTGCTCTAGGGCGTTTTAGAAAAACCTTAACTATATAAAAAAACAAGTATGAATCTTTAAAAAAAAAAAAATTGCTTTGTATAAAATTGAAATTTCGTTTTGTATACAACTTAACTCACTTTGTGAGTTAAGTTGCAAAGTAAGCTACAAGACAATTTAGACATGTTCAGAGTCTGATGTATGGAATATATTAACATCCAGACTAGTGTTGCGCCGATGCCAGTTTTTGGCCCCGATACCGATACCTGGCTGTGCAGTATCGGCCGATACCGATACCATGATAATGTAAAATAATTGCCATCATGGCTTTGTCAAGCTGCTGCCTACCTTTGTAAAGCAGGAAAAAATCTAATACAAAGTGAATCCAGTAGAACTTATTATTGCCTACCAGGGTTGTGGGTGACAATAGTTGAATAAACTTATGGCTCTCAAAATGGTATCGGTGCCCTATTTGTTGGTACCCGCCGATACCGATACCACCATTTTAGGGCAGCATCGGGGCCCCGTCCGATACTGGTATCGGTATTGGTGCAACACTAATCCAGACAGTATTGTACTTATTTGTGATATCTCAGCTTTAAGCATCAATTCACAACTGTTTTGTTCCAAAAGGTGGCAGGGAGGGCAGGGTCACACCCCTACCATGGACTTCGTAGCACCCAATGCAAGTCCAGCAGATTCCAGAACAGCTTCTTCCCCATTAGACTACTGAATGTTGTATAAAATGTTGTTTTTTTTTAAAAGCACTGAATGTTGAATCTGTAAATCACATATCAGTCTTATGTTTCCATTTGATCACTGCTGCACTTTAAAAATGGATATGTCTTGAGATCTGTACTGAATGAAATTTCGTTTTGTATACACTATGTGTGTGCAAAATTACAATAAAGTCTTTCTAAGTTTAAGTCAATTACTTGTTGATTATGGTTACCACGACTAATTACGACTTATAAAAGTCATCAGGAAACACTGCTGTTAACAGATTTAAATT